TTTGTTTCTTAAGCCATAACCTCGCCGCTCTGTAGCCTTGACCTGCCTTACAGAGGGCGATCGTTTCACCGGACAGTACCGTGCCATATGTCCGGGTTGTGAGCAGGACCAGCAAATTGGTCGACCGTCAGCCGTCCACCGGAGCGATGGACCGGCAGGTCGCGGCTGTCCAACCCGTCCCTGTTTTGTCCCGTTTTTGCCCTGATTCTCAGCTGTTGACCTGCTTTCCAACCTCTCCAATCGTTGGTCAACCTTATCCAGGTGGGCCAACAGTTGAGCCATCATGGTTTCCATCGTGCCGGTCCCTGTGGGTGGGGATTGTTTCTGTTCCGGCACCGAGACTTTGTCTACCGAACAGTTCGATTGGTCCTCATCCTCGGACCTGCGGATCGCTGAGTTCCTGACCTGAAGGAAGGTCAACTGTGGGTCTTTGTAGACCTCTTCTTTCAAATATCTTCTTGCCATAGGGGTCGCCAGCCCCTCGATGAAATGGTCCCTCAGCAGGCGCGCATCCATGTCGGGTATTTTGCCTTTTACAGCTTCAAAGGCCCTGTTCATTCGGTGTGAATATTCCATCACACTCTCCGCCAGTCTCTGCTTTATACCTACAAACACCGATAGCAGTTGCGATCCCGACCGTCTCTCCCCAAAGGTCTCCATAATTAGATCCAGCACCTTATCTGGATCTGATTGGATGGTTTTATCGTGGCATTTGACCTCTGCCCTAACCGTCTCTCCTATACTGCCCATCAGCAGTCTTAATCTTTCCTCTGGTGACATGTATCTCGAGGCCCAGGCAGCCCTGACCTCTTCACTGAACCTGTTGGTTAAGGTTGGATCACCGTCCCCGTAAAATTTGTTGATGTGGGACTCACTGGGCAGGACCACAATATGGATCGGCTTTTTGTCCAAATTTTGTCCTGGTCCATCTGGAGGCAAAGGGTCATCTTCACCGTTGCCTATCTCTGGGCTATCTTTATCTGACTCAGATTGTTGGGCCAGCAGGAGTTTTTGTTCTTTTCTGATATTTAAAATACCACTCCTGCGTCTGTCATTCACATTAAGGAAAAATGTTGCAGCTATGCAGCAGATAGTGTTGCCCAACAGGGAGATCATGACACATTTCCAGTGTCTAAGAGTTACATCTATATCTTGGTTGTCATCTTTGCCTAGTATTTGTCCCACAACCAAGTTGGAGATACCAATGCCAATTATCTGGATGCTGGTGGTCAGCCCCATAGCTGTCCCCAGGGTAGTTGGTGCTACAACTAGGGGTATACTGAGCCACATGCTTGCAGCAGCAAAAGAGCATGTGACACCAAGCCAGAATGATAATGAAAGGTGTCTCATCTCTGTTCTTTTCAATTTCCTCGATTCTGATTTCAGTTTTCCCTTTTATTTATTTCCTTCAAATAAAAAAAAAAGACCTTTCTTACCGTGTGTGTATGAAAAATTTTCCTCGTTCCTCAATTTTCACTGTTCCTGAATGTCCGAATTCACACACACACTAAACACAGTTATGAACTAGGTTGACTATGGGTGCCTAAAGCGGCTGGTCTAATTGGATTCCTCTGCCCGCAGCGCCAAATGTGACCGAGTGTAGTTGCATCTTCTGCTCGACAACGCCAAATGTAAAGAGTCTATTTGCCTGTAGTGCCAAATGTTAACGAGTCTAACCACTCATTCTACACAACATCGACCACAGTATAGATACTCGAAGATGCAGGTTCACTATTGATCCTTTTATTACATGAATCAAAGAAATGCTTCACAATAATATAATGAATCAAAAGAAATGCTTCACAATAATAGTCTGAATCAACTGACCCCCAACAGTCCTCACTAGTCTTCACATAACTGAATGCACATGTCTATCGTCCTTATTAACACAATACGGCTAACCCGTTCAATAACCAACTTGATACTGCCACTCTCCTACTGACTGACTGATCTCTCTTCCTCATCCCAGCCGTCGCCTTCCTATATATCCCTTCGTATTCGTAATCGGATTCGTAATCGTAATCGTAATCGATTCTAATCGTTGCATCAGAATGTTAATTACGCCGCTTCTGTCGTACAGTCCGATTAATAAAACACCTGCACTGTTTCATCAGCCAAGTCGTGTCAAAGTTGACAGCGCTTGTCGTATCCTTCCCAAAATACGCCGTGGCTTTATGATCGTTATCAGTTGGCTTATCAGTCCAACACCTGCACTATTGCGTTCTTAACAATCGTGACCAGTAACTAGGCCTACACTAGTTACATATATATATATATATATATATATATATATATATATATATATATATATATATATATATATATATATATATATATATATATATATATATATATATATATATATATATATATATATATATATGGTTGTGTGTCTATGTATATATCATTCTGTGTGGTCTGTGTTTGTGTGTATGTGTGTATGTCTATGTGTATGTGCATATGTATAAATACATATAGATACTTTTATACATATATGTAGGCCTCTATGCATGCGTACAGATCTTTCGATATGAGCCATAACTGGCCTTGGATCTTACACAGCGTCGTTTTCCAACAATTTATTTCGTTAACAATACTTCTCGTTGAACTCAGTACCACAAGGGCCGGAATAACAAATACGAGACGCTGCTCCCCCATGCTTATACTTCTCTGATACCGACTTGTTGAGGGTTTGCCAACACAGTGTATACTCACTCTACTGGACTACAAACTTAATACTAGTATTTGATAGCTGTGACCCCCCCCCCCCCCTTTCCTCAAACACCCTCCCCTCGCATCATCCCTCTTGTCGTTTCCCCTTTCATCTATTTCACACTCTCGACGAGTAAAGAGTGGGGGACGTCTAGGCTCATGCCCGGGCACAATAGCCAGGCCCCGGGGCGGGGGAGACGCTGGGATTGACTGGGACACAAGAAAACAATTACAACTCCTGTGCAGACGAGCATCAATATTTGAGGACATGGCCGGGGAGTTTGTATTTCAGAGCGAGGCTCCGTTTTAAGGTTTGAATTGGGATGACGGAAGGAGAAGTGTGTGTGTTGTGGGGGGGGGGGGGGGGGGGGGAAGGAGGTTTGAGGTGAGGGGGGGGGTAGGGAAAAGGGATGTTTGAACAGTTGTTGTTTTTTTCTGTCGGATCAACATTTTGTTCAACCTTGTCGAAGAGGAGTTGTAATTTGTAATTGAAGGTTGTTGTCTTTTCCACAACGTTGAAATTACTGTTGAAGTTAGCTTAATGGTTTTTTTTTTAAATCCCTCTAAATCTTATCTTCTCGCTTTTCTATTTTATTTAATGACATGCATTGAATTTTAAAAAAAAAATACCTAACTATTCATCATCAATAGCTAAATGAAATATAGAACAAACTGTAATGCCAAACCACTCTATATTTTAAAAAAATAGTTTAAGATAGCTGCACTTCGCAAATCTTTCGTTGTAGGTGTAGACCTATGTTATTGGCTAGATAGGTCTGATTATATTAGTCTATTTTTTTTTAAATATTGTTTCATAAGAGAGTAAAAATAAAAAATCTGAGAACTAATTAACGTAATGTTAATTTTAATTAGAATAGAGAGCAAAGTTTCACATGGATTTACATGGATTCCTCCATAACAACCACAATTAGTACAAGAACAGCAAAGGGGTCATCCATAAATGACGTCACGCTTTTTTGACGATTTTCACCTCCCCCCTCCCCTCCGTCACACGTCGTCACAAAAAGCCAGACCCCCCCCTAGAATGACGTCACACCTCAACCTACAACCCCCCCCCCCCCTCAAAATTGCAGTTGAATTTTTTTTAAACATCGATATTTTTCTAAAATCTTGTCTAAACTATTACAATGTATTAAAACAGTTATCTAAAACGCGAAATAACGTCTAAAATTCGTTTTCTAACATTGCCTTTTTATAATGCAAAAGTGTGACGTCGCATCATCTGAACTCCCCCCCCCCTCCCCCTCATCACACATCGTCACAAAATTACGGACCCCCCTCCCCCCTACGAGTGTGACGTCCGTCATTTATGGATGACCCCAAAGTGAATTAACGGATAACATTGATCTGTAACTATCGTCATTATCGAGTAGTTACTTCTTTTAAGAAGTATATTGCCGACTTCATGTGAAACGTACTAAGGATTGTGTATAGATCTTCTTCAGCTTGCTAGTAATGTCTACTACCACTATTTAATTACCTTATGTTTTCTCTTTAAAAATATGCCTAACTATTATTTTTTGGGTGAGAGGGGTGGGTATTTCCACAAAGGGTTCGAAATAATGAGAAGTAAAAAATATGTGAAGTCGCGTGATGACTTCATAGAAAAAGCTAAATCGATAACAGCAGTGGATAAAGGGAAGCTACTGATATAATTAAAAGAATAAAAGGGTTATCTTTTAGTGGATTTTTCTACGCCTGTATTCTACGTTAATTTAAAACGCTAGCTGTTAGATCTGCTTACAACAAGTTATTCGATTATAATAGTGATATTAAAGTTCAAATTACTTATATTTATTATACTTATTTTTAAAAGCATGTAAACATGTAGAAAAGAAGTAGGTTTTTTTTGTTTATTTACACACTGGCGAACAAAGTAACGAAACAGTTAAAATAAAATGAGGTAAACAGTAGGCCTAATAAAATGATTATAATATAAATACAAACAACGAATAAGGGACTGGGAACATACCCTTTCCCTCTTTGAGAAAAGTAAAATTTTACTCAGAAAATTTAATATTTATTTTATAGTTTGGCAGACTACTATAAAATCTATTATAATAGTAGTATGTTCTTGTGTCGGTTGCTGAAATCTACTAAAATAAATTTTAAAATGTAAAATTCTAAAAATATTAGACTAAACAAAGTTATTTGAATTTTCATTATACAGATTATTCGACTGTGAGTAAAATTATTACGACATATAATTAGCATTGCCAGTCAGGTTTTTATACTAGTTATCTCCGGAAGTGTTTATCGGTTACTAAGTAACGCTTGTTGTGTTGAGTTTGAAATACTTTCACTTTGGCTGTAAGCTTTTGAAACCGCACACTTAAATACGTTTATCATTTAAAGAGGAAAAGGTGAAATGTGGTTAGATTTTATATGTATGTAAAGGATTGTTAAATACTATCTAGATTAGATCTAGATTTTTATTATTCGCGAACGTAGATCTACCGCTGTTTCAGCCTGTTTCAGGTTGACTTGAATTCGTTTTCAGAAATTTTATAGTTTCATTTTAAATTTAGTTAGATCTAGGCATATTAATGGAATGATTAAAAATACTCTGCAATAATACAAGACAACTACTGTTTGATAAAATATAATAACGTGCTTGTCAATTGAGTAGGCACAATTTTATATAATAAGTTCAATAACAATTCAACAGTCAAGTGGCTCCACTGTATTTGGATCCCACACGCCACATTAAGTTGGCTGTTTGGTCTATAGTTACTAGATTCTAGATCTTATATGTATATTTACACATTCATATAGCCTGTATTAAAATTAATAACTTACTTTTTGTTCAGTTTATTTTTTATTATGGATTTGCTAGTATTTTGTTGTGTTTTTTTTGTGTTGTTGTTTTTGTAATAAACAGTTCTGGGGATTTTCTAATAGTAGGGCCTAGAATTTCTAAATACCTGATATTTATGTACAAAATGTTGCCTAATTCAAAATAAGGTGTTATGGCTAAGTTGAAAACAAGCCTGCCTAATGTCCTGTTTTTTTTTGTTGTGTGGGAAGAAAATTTTCAACTAAACAAGTAGATCGATGATGAATGTTGTATATTTTTTTTATTATCTTGTAAAAAAAAAACACTAGGCATATGGGCTAAATTAGAATATAAACTCATTTACACATTTATTCTAAGTAAAAATGTGTGTACCCTTTACTCAAACATATAGTTAAAATTTGATCATCATCATCTCTCAAAGCCTTAGTCGCACAAGGCACCAACAAGTAAAGTCCCATCTCTAGTTAAACTCTCTGTTTGTTGGAATATTAGGCCTCTTTCTTTCAACTCTTTCTCCATTGATCTTCTTCATATTTTTGGCCATCCTCATTTTCTCTTGCCCTGTTGTGTCCATCTGAGATCAGCCCAAGCCAATACACCTGTTCTTATTCTTAGCACATGGTCTAACCATCTCCAACTTCTATGCCTGATAACAACTGTTAATGTTTTTTGACTTCTCTTTTGAGATAGCGCTGGCCAGAATATTTTCAATATTTGTCGTTTGCAGTTGTTTAAAATTTAAAAATGAATGTGATTATTGTTTTAATTGTAATAAGTAATGTTTAATTAAGGAATTAGATTTTTTTTTAAAAAGCTGCAATTTAGGAGAGGGTGAATGCTAAAGTACGGGGGGTTGCATTTTTTTAAAGGGAGGGGGGTGGGGTGTGATATAATTTATGGATGACCGATTTAAAAAACTTTAATTCAAGCAATACTCTGTGGAATATTTATTTATGAAACCTAAAAAAAATCTCAAAACTTTTTTTTAGGAACAAGGAATAATTTATATACATCAAGTAACATTTATAAAGTCGACACTTAAAATGCCATTAATTGAAGTACTATCTGAGTCGTATAATGAAGTGAACAACTCAAATATTCAGTCCGTTCAAATAGAGCCAACAACTGTAGACAACCAACTACCACAGTCTGCACCACTTATAACTACATTAGACTCAACTGTGGAGGTCACGGATAATGGGAAAGTTATCGTACATGATGAAGAGAACAACAATCTTCAAATTGGTAAAAAAAAATAGATTAAAAATGTAGGTAATATTGTTAAAGCACCTGTAAACAATATGAGCTTATGTAATATATGTGTTGTCTTTTTTAGATGAGATAACAGAAACCCATGAAGTTCCCATAAACAATACTATTAAAGTGGAAGAAAAGGATAACAAAAATGAATCAGAAAAAAAGAAATATCCCAGGTAGAAATTACACAAGATTTATAAACATGTTTACGATAATTTTTATTTCAAGCTACTTTTGATTATTGTGCATTATGAATATTAGAACTACTTTTGTGATAAAATTTTGTTTCTACCATCTGTTAACTATTTAAGTTTTAACCTGGTTGAGTATGCTTTGAACAGTTGTGTGTGTTCTTTTAGTGTTTTGACTGAGAAGTTTTTAAAGAAACACTGCAAAGATTTGAAACTCTATCAAACTCCAGAACTTAATGATGTTCTCTACCTTCATTACAAAGGTATTCCACTATCTTCGACTATCATGTTAGATAGCATAATTCAGTCTTATTATATATATAAAACTCTGCCATATTAAACTTCTTTTTAACTTAAATAGATATCTCAGTAACAGACATGTAAATCACTTATTTTAGAACAGTTTGAATTATATCTCTTCCTATCAATGTGAGTAAAAATAAAGATGCCCTTTTGGACCTTGCTGTCTATATGACAGATGATGTAGAGTTCACCTGTTACAGTTATCTCTACATATGAAAAGAAATATATTGTCTCATACATTAACACATTCTCTAAAGATTAGTCATTTGACTGGTAAATTACTTTGTATAACAAAGATAAAAACAAATAATTATTTTTGGAATTCAATTGTTAATAAAAACAAGCAGTGTTTTTTTTAATTAAAATTCTCTAATTATGTGTCATTACAATTTGATTTACTTTCAATTTAAGTTGGAACAATTAATTAAAATAAATCCACATTTTATAGGTTATATTACCATGCTTTTAATTAGGTAAAGATATCTAAAATGCTATTCCTTTTAAACAGGTATTTATCAAATTGAAAACCTTGAGGCTTACACTGGCTTGAAATGCTTGTGGCTAGAGTGTAATGGCATCAGCACCATAGAGAACCTGGACAAACAGACAGAGCTGAGGTGCCTTTACTTGCATCAGAACCTCATTGGCAAGTTGGAGAATCTGCAAGCTCTGCAAAAGCTGGACAACCTCAATGTCTCACACAATATCATTAAAAGGATTGAACACATCTGTAAGCACTTTGGTTATTTTTTTTATAAATTATGCCACAAACTTAACATTTGTGATGATGTGCCGGTAGAAGAGAACATATGGTCAAGAAGTGTGATGGCACACCATATACTTCACTTTTTTTTTAGATACATTTTTTTCTAGAATTATGATTCATTTTTCTAATCAATGTCAGTTTTTGGAGTGAGGAATAGGATAAAATTCTGTGTGATCCTGTATGTAAATTAAATAATTTTATTACTCAAGTCTATATTATCAAATAGGCCCATGTCATTGTTTTTTTTTTAAAGGTTTATGCATTTCTTTTTCAGCTTGTTTGCCAGTGTTAAACACATTAAATATATCCCATAATAAGCTTCAGACAGCTGATGATCTGGCTGAGCTGGTCCATTGTCCGAACCTGTCCATTTTAGATGTATCATACAATCACATTGATGACGTTAATGTTGTAGACGAGGTTTTCGTTAACATGAAAAATCTAGTAAGTCTATGCACAGGTTTTATTTTTAGAACTGTTAATGTATGTGCTTCCCTTGTTACCGTAGTTTCAATATAAGAGCTTTTTGAACTATTATTCTAATCAAGTGCTGCTTGTGTTCTCAGTACTCAATAGTCCATAATGATTTACTTAAACTTAACATGAGTCAGGTACCCCTTAGAGCTGAGTGGACTCAGTGACATTGTACTGACACGAAGCTTGTATTTCAACTTGAGACCACGATGCCCCACATTAAAGACTTAGATTTTACATTAATTTAACCTTTATGACTGATTTTATTTTATTTTTATCTAGAGGGTTCTTAATTTGTCAGGCAATCCAGTTACACAGAATATAAAATTCTATCGAAAGACATTAACTGTCAAATTGGTAAGTAAGGAAAATATGGATTCAATATTATCATGGGTTAAGTAATTACATTTTTGTAAATACTCATTTCAAATTCAATAATTTATACTCCTTTTTGTTCAATAGTCAATAAAATAATAATTAATAATAATTATAGTTAATAACAGTGAATTAATATAGGCCTACATGTGTATGTTTTGCATATTGATTAATTAATTAATACTTTTAATTTGATCTCTAGAAAAACCTTCAATACCTAGACGACAGGCCAGTATTTCCTAAAGACAGGGCTTGTGCTGAAGCTTGGTATGTTTTTTGTTTTTTTTTAAATTATGTCCACAAGTCACAATTGCCCTTTTTTGTGAGTTCAATAAAATTCTACATCAACTTGTTTTTTATAGGGCAGAGGGTGGTCTAGAAGCTGAGAAGATGGAGAGGGAGAAATGGGCAACTAAAGAGCATCAAAAATTGACAGAAAGTGTTGATGGTAGCTATTAAATTTCTTCTTGAAATTTCTTGTTATTGTTTAAATAATAAGACTGTTTTAAGAGTATTAAAAAAGATTTAAAATAGTTATTATTAATTGATTTTAAGATTAAAATAAAAGCTACTGCAATCTAAATGATTAAGTTTTTTTATCACAATACAAAGGTTTTTTTCAAAAGTTATAAAATGAAAAATTAATTTGAGACATAGAAACCAGGATACTCTGTGCATTCTTTTCTCCAAAACTAACAATAACTCAAATTTAGTGGGTGTCTGTTTTGTTTAAATGTGTTATTCATTTGTTCACTTTTTATTTAACTGAACATTTCTTTTCCCAAAAGCACTCTTAAAGTTGAGAAAAACAACACTTGCAAAGAAAATACAAAATGAACTCAATGAGAAAAACCAAAGGGAAGGCAACTCTGAAAAAGTTGAAGTGGATGAAGAATCAATAGACTGGCTCTATGGAACATACAAACTCAAGGGGGATGATACAGTGTACAAAAGATCTGAAGATGTCAGTGAGAGAAAAAGATTAAATGATGAGCAAACTGATGAACAATCAGAAGATCAAAGTTAGTTGAATATTTTTAATCACTTTAATGCAACAAGCTGACCCGCGGCGTATCATACGCCGCTATTTAGTTGTTTTATTTTCTACTTTTCAGTAATTCATAATTAGTGAATTCGACAGTACCAACGCTGCCACTGAAAATATTTGCTTTAAAACACTATCAGTAGCTCGTTAAGGACGATAACCCCCCCCCCCCCCACCCTCCTTTCAACAACCCCTACCCCACACCCCTGTGAAAGTAAACTCCTCTAATAGCCGTTACTAAACCCGGCTCTACGATTGTAAACATTTAGCATGAACCACAGCTCACCAGACCATGTAGGGGTGGGGGTGGTAGGGAGCGCGCTTATAGCTTGGTGTTTTCTATCGTCTCCAAGAAGAAAATTATATATATAGATTATTTTTAAATATGTAATCACATTCACAAGCTATAAACTGTAAAGTCTAATGAGCCCTAATGTCAAGTTGGCCTATAATATAATTTTTTCTCTAAATTGCTTTAGACCAAGGCAAATACTTTTCAGTAGATTATCTAATTCAAGCTAGCACTTGATTTTACACCTATATTCAAATATATAAGTGTTGGCCCTATTCAGTGAAACTGCATTTTTTATTAACATTTTCAAATTATGTAAAAGTTTGGCATATCAATATTTTAATTATTGAATAAGTGAAAAAGTTATTGGTAAACTTTTTTATTGCTTCTAAATTTAGATACAGAAAACACAGATGCCAAGCCAAAGGAAAATGTTCCCGGTGAAGAGATGGAAGTCATTGAAGTTAAAATAAAGGCAAAAGAGGATAATGAGGAGGATAGTGGAATATTCTCACATCGTGATGACAAACCACGAGGACTTCTTATCACAGATAGTATGTGTTAAATTTTACATATCTATCACAGACAGTATGTGTTAATATTTTATAATTTTACATGACAGGACACATTTCAGAGACAGTATGGATTTTAAATTCTTAACCACTTATTTAAACACTATGTCGTTCTGTACAAAAATGTTATTAATCCCTTAGCTACATTGAATTAGTTTGTCTTAATTCAGTCTTTAATTGCTTTGTAATGAGAATCTGCACAATCAAATAACACTTTATCACACACTACTAAAGTAAAACAATAGAAACAAATCAAAAGCCCCTGCATTTTTCTATTTTTGTTATCTTTGAAAAAGATTTTAGTGACTTGTGTTTAAATTTGCAGATGAAAAAGAAGATGCTGATGGATTTGAGGTAAGTTCTTTTTGTAAAAAAAAAATAACAAAAAACTGGGCATATATTGTCTTAAAACTAATTTTTTTAAAGGTTAATTTAATGCTCATAATTAAATAGAGCTTTTTTTTACAGGACCTTCCAGATCTAGAAGATTATGAACAAACAAATGCTGACACAGAAGATAAAGTAAGTTTTTTTTATGGTTCAATTAATATGAATCCTTGTTTGAGTAACTTGCAATTGTTTCAAATATTAGCACTTTTCATTCACCAACACTATTTCAGTACTGGCCCAAGTTTTCATTAAATAGCACTATTTCATTTACTGGCACTTGTTGCAGTTACTAACAAATATTTTTCAACTATTGACACTTGTTTTATTAACTAGCATTTGCTTTAGTTATTGGCACTAGTTTCAAATATTGGAACTTTTTTCATTTACTAACACTATTTCAGTTACTTGTACTTGTTTCAGCTACTGGTACTAGTTTCAGCTACTGGCACTTATTTTAGTTACTGGCACTGGTTTTAGTTCCTGGCACTTGTTTTAGTTGCTGGCACTGGTTTTAGTTCCTGGCACTTGTTTTAGTTACTGGCACTGGTTTTAGTTCCTGGCACTTGTTTTAGTTACTGGCACTGGTTTTAGTTCCTGGCACTTGTTTTAGTTACTGGCACTGGTTTTAGTTCCTGGCACTTGTTTTAGCTACTGGCACTTGTTTTAGTTCCTGGCACTTGTTTCAATTACTAGCACTTGTTATAAGTTGCATGTTGATGTTACAGGCATGTACTTATTTCTTGTAACGTCGATTGCCGTACTTACATCCTTGTAAAACGTCTATTACTTTGGTCCATGTCTTGTCGCTTAAATGCTTGAGTTTATCAAAAACTAGTACCTGACATCAATGAAAAATCATTAACATTAAGCATTGTCCTGAAAATATACTCTTATTTTTTACCATAGCAAATTTATGCATACAATAGTCTCACATTGCTACACTACAAAAAAACTTGTTTACTCTTACTTTGTCATTATGTAAACAAAGAATATAGCTCAGCAGTATAGAATGGAGTCAAAAAATTTATGTTTCTGGTATCCCCAGCCTTACCGGCCCATCATTGAAATTCTAAACGACGATGAAGAAGAGAATCAGGATCAAGTCAACAGTCATGTTCTCTCAAAGAAGAAAGTTTTAATTGAAGATATCACAGTTTCTATATCTGACAGTAATTTAACAGACAATGACACCACAGATTCACCACAAGCTGTCAATGAAAACCTTATTGATTTCACACAGCTAAGCAATAAATGCGTTTCCCCAAATCATAGTGAAGACACCAATGAATCTACCAAAATTTTGATTACTGAAATGGAGGAAGAAAGTAATGAGAATAACTCACCAGATAATGTACAAAATAAATATATTTTGTCAAGCCAAGAAGATGCATCTGTTGCTCGGCCCTCTGATAAAGTTTCTGAAGATTTGCTTGGTGCTCTAAGTTCAATAGCAGATTCCAAAGTCAGCAAAGATGGGGTAATTGACTTTTCAACCCCCGCAGGGCTGATAAATGGTGATGATGATGACGATGAAGGGGAGAAGAGGGTGTTTGATGAGGAGCTTGAAGGCTTAGATTGAAAGTTAAGATCCAGTTTATCTCAATTGTATCAACTTAAATTTGATAATTACTATTTATAACAGACTGTAAAAAAATAAACCACAAACATTAATTTTTGGGAAGTCTGAACAAATTTAGTACAGGCTAAAATGCACCACCTTTAAGATATCAATACTCCTAATATAATTAAGTTATAAATTTAATGAATAAAAACAATCCGATACTTTAAGTTTTATTGGTATATATTTTTTAATGCTGCATCCATAATTTTTACGTGAAGGTTTTCAGTGATGTGAAAGTATATGGTACAAGTTTTTGTGTGGTCCCATAATGCTTTACAATAGTTAATGCATTCTTATAAGATATTTTAAAATCTTTCTTATTATTTTAAATCACTTTTTTGTGTTCAGAATGTCAGTTCAATAAATAAATTATCAATACCTTTACAAAACGTTTGTAGTTCATTATTGTAGTTCATGTATGTAAAGTTGTGAAACTGACTAGTTTAGATATGTAAAAAAAATAATCAACAATATACTGTACACCTTCTTTCTGATCTTTATTTTTGCTACATATTGACATAGATTAAAATACATTGGTTTACATACACAACTATACACTGAACTTGCTACAGATGTTTTTGAATGCAAGAGTATGGGCATGTCATGGATCAACACAGTTCTAGAAATAGTCTCACTAGTTAGTAACACATAAGACCAGTCTAATCTAAAACACAAACAATATAAGAAATTTAATTTCAGTGTTATTTACTCATGATAAAATTATTTTTTTTAAAAAGATTTGTTGTTTTCCACAATATTTAATCTTCTGTAAAATATATATCAAAGAGTTATCTATTAGTTATTATACCCAGCCTCTTCTTAATATACAAACAAAAATACTAGAAGAACAGGGCAATAATTTTTTATGAACATTCACTTATTCAATTAAATTACTATCAGTAAACAATTTTTTAGAAATTTTTATAACATGCTATTTGTTTGCAGAGCTTAATACTAATTACCTGTAACTTGTAACCGCTTACAATCAATTAAGCATTGTTAACCATATTGCTTTAGGTTAAATGACATACCATTGCCCTGCTTTAGTTTAAAAAAAATAATAGCTTACATATTAAGTGACACAAAAACACATCTTAATCTATTGTAATTATGTGTATGTTACAAAAAAAAATCCCAGCAATACATGTATATCACATAAATAATTGATCGAGATTATCCAATGAACTAGCAATCTGGTTATCACTGGAAAACCCCAAAAGGGTTTTCCCAAAACAATAAATGAATGGACAAATAAATTAGTCTACATGTAGCAAAGTCTTGATTACATTGTCAAGTTAAACATGGAACTACAAATGAATTAAATGTTACAGAATGTCTTTTGTAGGAAATGATGTACAGAAGTGGAATGATATATATAGCAGTTAATCAGTCATTCAGCAACACTAGCGTCTGCATCACATACTCATATCTACAGTGGATTCATATGTTACAAGGGTGCTTAGTGGGTGGGTTTGTACCAGTATGTACTACATTTTAAAAACAAAACTTTAATTCTAATAGATTACTTGCAGTGGAGTTGCCTTAAAAATGTTTTGATTAAGTTCAAAGTTTGAAGGAGGATAAAGTATGAGTTGCGCAGTTAAATTTAAAAAATGAAAGTGGAAACATTTCTTTAAAAAAAAAAACAAGAATATGTATAAGTATAAGAAAAAGAGCTTTATTAAATATTAAATAATTTTTTAAAATTCTGGGCACATTTTTTTAAGCTTTATTAATACTGTGTATTTTTTTTAAAAAGGGATTAACTGTTCTTTTCAACAATCGCACAGGAAATGTTTAATTTTTGTGATTACAATGCAACATTGTGTATCCTTTGTATTAAAAAAATGCCTAAACAAAAGCATGTACACAACCAAATACAGCTTAAACCATACCTGCTAAGAATTTTTTGAAATGTTTTAAATGCAGATAAGAATTCAGTAAAATACCTTTTACCCATGGGCTTGAACCACACCAATAAATTTACTAAACTACTTGCACAGCCTTTTTTGTATTATTACACTTGCCACATACAAAAAGTATATCTCTATTGTCTCTCCTGTCTTCTTCTTTTATACACACTAACAAAGACTGATATAAGTCCATAAAAATATGCAGGGGTAAAAATAAATTAGAAACGTTCCTAAATTTTTTGTGGCTCGCACATGTCCAGGAGAATCTTGTAAAAAACATAGGGGTAGTAATCAGCTGCAGTTAGGTTGAACCCTGGGATCTCCATGGCATTCATCTAAACAGATAAGGGTAAAATACAAATGTTGTTAGTTAACATTTTTTTAAAAATATTTTTCCATATTGACAATAGATCAAGTTTGTTCAACAAAAAAATGGCTGAAAACAAAAGGATTTTTAAATAACTTATTAAAATGTTCAGCAATGTCTTAACAAAGAATTAAATTATTTTCATAAGAGATTTGTTTCAGTGTTGAGTTGCATGAGTCAGTGGACATTTATGTCCCATACACACCTAAGACTTGTCAGACTGTTGTACACACAACAGTAACAGTATTTTACTATAGAGGACATAAATGTTCAGCCAGTGAGACTTCCCCAGTGGAACAATGATGCAATCAAATGGTTTAACATGTGTCGCATAAAATGTTTCTCAATGATTTATAATTCTCCATTGGCAAAGGGCTTACACCCATTATTCAGTGAATTATACACTACCAGGTACATTAAATTAAAGATTATAAGTATAAAAATTAAAAATTAAATTTATAATCCTTGGTTAAAATATTCTCAAAACTCATTATGACATTTCTAGCTATTTTAAAATTTCAGCACTTTTTTTTTTATTTTGTTTAACTAAACTGAGTTACCTACCTTGTCTCCAGAAAGAGCAGTTGAATCAAGATGTCCATATTGTTGGTTCAGTATTTCTCTAATACGTTTTTGATGCTTTTTTACTGGCCTTATCAAAATAGCTTGAAAATTGACTGGGAGCCCATATCTACATTTTGAACAAGAAAGTTTTACTTTAATAAAATGATGAACAAGAAAATTTTAAGCATCTGGTGTGGACATTTTTCAAAATTGAAACAGCTGCATCATTTTATACAACCAAATAAATCAATACAAAAAAGAAAAAATAGAAACAAAAACATTTTTAAAATGCAGATCCCCTGAAGTATTTCCAATACAAAACTGTGCATAAAAAACAAATTTGCCAACCTGAGAACAGACTCCACAAAAACACGTAGAGCTTTGATGTGCATCCATGCAACAAAAGCTTCACCGAAATTGATTTTCAGCCACTTGACCAGAGGGCCCTAAAAGAATTCATGACAAAATATTTATTAATACAACAGTCTCTAAATTAGCTATCTTGAAATAAAAGAAAGACTACAGATTTATTTGAATGTACTAAATGGTTGTGATTTGAACGAACATAAAAAAAATAAAGACAAGGAGCATTCAACTCACAAATTTCTTCTTTTTATCAGCATTGAGTTTGTCCAGCTCAGTTTTCCCAGCTTGAATTTCTTCTTCATTGTACTGGAAATCTCTCACCATGAACCTGCGCAGTACACATAAGACTTTTAGTATTTAACTAACTTAATAGGGGTCGGCGTGGTCGAGTCGGTAAACCTCATGGTTGCCTAACCGAAAAGTCTCGAGTTCGAACCCTCGGGCAGATGAGGCTCGTTAGCTGGGGACAGCTACTCTTCTAGGAGAGACAACTCCAAAATCAAACAACTACTGCCTTGTAGCCTGTTCGTGGTTGGACAAAGGCTATGGAAGCAAATCCAAAAAGATAAGCAGGCTGAAATCGGAGTCAATGGCCTCAATGGCGCATAACCAGTTGACACGTAATGCTTAATTGTGTTTAAGGCGTGGTCGAGTCGGCAAAAAGCTCATGGTTGATAAATTCGAACAAAGTCTCGAGTTCAAACCCACTGGCAGATAAATCTCGATCCTCTTCAACACTAATAATTAAGAACTAAGAAGAAGAACTTAATAATTTAATATTTAATAAAGCTCTTTTTCTTATACATAATTAGTTTTGTTTTAAGAAATGTTTACACTTTCATTTTTTAAATTTAACTGTGAAAGTCATACTTTATCCTTTCAAACTTATTCAGAACAATTTAATGCAACTCCACTAATTTATCAGAATAAAAAATATTTCAGATTGTAATACATAAAAATAAGTTTTTGTACACCATTTAAGATAAAACTAAGAGATTTTAAAATAGAACTAAGTTTTAGAACACACGAATTCACATAAACCCAAAATTTGGTACACCTAGTTCAACATAGAACTAAGCTTAGGTACACCAAGTTGAACATAAAAAAATATTTGACAGGATATATTTCTGTAATATAGCAAATAGAACTTTAATGACATAAAACTGAGCTTGTAACTTTTGTCTGAATCTTTATACCATTCCTATTACAACCTTCTTTTTAAAAAAAAAATATCTGCCTTACTTGTGCTCACGGCACTTGTTTTTAAACTCATCTTGAACTAATCTGAAGAGTGTCACTGTGCATAACTGGTGCTCATTGTCTTCAAAGACTACCCTGAGAATAAAAAAAGAGAAAAAATGTCAGAATAATAACATAAAATATTGCTGTCCTTTACATGTATAGACCTACGGTACTTGACAAAAAAATGAAAATTATTTTTCCAAAGTTTTTAACAGTCTTGTTGAGACTAATTAAAAAATGAACTAACATTTGATATACAGTTAAGTTTTTCTGTTATTTCTTTATTCATGTAAATTCAAAAGCAAAAAAAAAGGAAATTTATTTATAACTGACCTTGATGACCTTGGAACAACTTTCTCTGTCATTTTCTCATATTTTTTCATCCAATCTTCAGCAAGCATTCTAATTTTAACAACAGAAAAGTTAGTGCATTTATTGTTGGTGGTTCTCTCTTTATTAGTAGTATGTCAAAGTTTAATATAAATTAAAATCAAAACTATTTTTTTTTGTTTTGTATTATCACAGCTCATTTAGTGTAATATTTATTACAATACTACTTCATCAAAATATAAACAAAGTATTTTATTTGATGGGTTATTACTTGGGTACAATCACCACCAGTGTAATGAGATATTCAGAGTCTAGAATAAAATCCTCCTTCTTCACTAATTCAGCAACACTGCGTGTCAACAGGCTCCCACTAAAAAATGTAAAAGAAAATGAACTTATTTGTTGTTTTACAATTTAAAAGCCGCTGATTTACAGATTGCAATTTTTCTCTTTTTATAAATAATAATTTATTTTAGGTAAATGTACACATATTAAAATTTAAAATCAATATTTCTGTATTTGCTCAATTAAAGTAATAAATGCAAAGGTACATACTTCTTTCATAAAAAAGAAGTCAGAGTGAACAAAGTAATGATAAAATAAGTGATGTCCACACCACCTCCCCCTCCCCAAAAGTAATTATTTAATACATCTGAATACAAAAGACAAAGTAATGATTTACGTTGCTTTACGCTCCAGTTGTTGGAGACTGCCCTTCAGATTGTTGTACTTGTTGTAACGAGTTTTCAGCTCCTCCTCAATGTGTGTTACATCCTAAAATATGATCGTTCAAAATGTTTAAGTCTGGGCCATTAAATTTACTTTTCAATTTTAAAAAATTATAGCAATAGAATCAAATTATTTTTAAACTATAGGCCAAGAAAACAAAAGTACCTTGGAGATTACATCAGCAATAGTCCGCAGAGGTTGTTTGATAGGGTATTTGGCAACATCCCAGTTGAATTTCTGAACATATACTTGCGGAGGGACTGAAATTTTTAGAAACATAAATTGAAAGACAAAGTAAATGTTTAGCATTGCAAACTGCTAACTAAGCATAAATGTATATAATTATACACATGTATATTATACACACATACATACATGTATATTTATGTATATAGGTCTATATGTAGCCTATAGAATAAAATAAATAATTTTAAAAATTACTTTCTCCTCCTATCCGTAAATTTTCAGCCAAATTTCCTTTAGCAGAGGATTCGAGAACATCTTCAAGTGTTGACGAAGCCTTCCTTACCACACTGTTAACAGAAAATGTTTTTTTAGTCTTTCAAAAATTATTATCATGCATCATGAACTATTTTTATTTTTGATACTGCTAGATTTTTATTTTCTCTAACTAAATAACATTACGTTCACATATTAATTATATAGATTTTATTATTTACCTCTCTGTATATGCATCAATTTTACTAAGGTCATCAGACAGACCGACTAGAACATCTAAGGTGCCAACCTGCAAACATTTTTTTTATTACAAGAGCTTAATTGGAATTGAAAAAAAAAAGGGGAAAATAACTTGACTTATTAGTCTTTCTTAATTTCATAATCATCGTAACTAATTATAACTAAGGGGTCTTTTTACCTTGAGATCTGGAATTGCAAACTTGAAATTTTCTGATAATTTATCATTTCCACTTCTGAGTGCTTGATTTAGCTTTTCAAAAGTGTTCTGTGGTGTTTTCTCTCCTGGTGCTGATATTAGCCAGTATTCGTTCATAACTGCAGCCATTCTGCTAAAGCTGTTGACGATATTTATTCTAAACTAAAAAAGCCAGTGAAATTTTGTAAATTTATTTTCATCTTGGCAGATTGGAAGTAAATGGTAATTATTTTGAAAGCAAATAGAACTTTTTTTTTACATATAATTTATTAACTTCAGGCTAACCATCTAATTGATCCAATTAAAATATGTGAGGAGAGACAAATGAAGTTCAATCGAATCAATATATCGGCCTATTGGATTATAATAGGTTTTCCTATCTTTAATATGTCATTGTTTTTTAAACTAGTTAACTATGGTTTATTTTAAGCATATATAGTAGGACCCGGCATTTATTCAACATATTTTTAAGCTAAAAGTAAAGATCATAGCAATGTTACATAGCTACAATCTTTACTTCTGGCTACATTGAATGTGAAAACGACACAAAATAATAGTTATTTAATTATTTATTAGGCCTCATCTTGTTCATTCCTATTGAATACTATTGATGCAAGATGAATAATGTTTAAATGTTATATCTGAGACAGGCCCTGCATGTCACACCATTGCTATCTGAGAAAGTTAAAGTGACATGACGCTGACTGGCAACAGGTGCCAAGGAGCCCAAGGACTAATTTTTTTCATACTGAAACTTACTTTTTTAATTAAAGCTGTCTTGTGATCAGACTTAAGACTACAACATTCCACTTTATGGTTTAAAAAATGCATACATCTTATCAAAAATACATGTTAAAAACTGACACAAAGACAAGATATATTTTATTCTTAGATTTGACAGCCCAAAGTTAAGTAGCCTATGCTCGGGGAGAAACCTACTCCAAGTACTCCAACTCACTCAACGAGAATGACTGACGGAAAACTCTGGGCACTGAATTTAAATGTATGTGTACCGTTGTAATTCAGATCGCACATAAAAGTATACTTAAGACTACAAATATTTACCTTTTAAAATAAAATTTGACACTATTACTAACGATTTCTCTACAATATAATGCAATTCTATCTCAAACTACCTTTAAAAATCCAATATGATTGTTTTGTATAGGGCTTTTCACGTGATACCGGAAGTCAACCAGATTTATTAGAGTTAATGCCCTTGGAATAGTAGAGGCATCTATGACAACAGAAATTATATATTTCTACAAAAATTATTCTGTTTTTACATCTTGTGCAGTAAATTAATAATGATGCACAGCACATTGATCTCACAATAAACATTCCATATACCAAGGTGAAAAAGCAATGGTAATACAGATGCTACCTTTACAGAAAATGCTTAGAGTTTAGACTAGTTCATTAGTTGAGTTAGTGTTTTTTTTAGTAAATTTTTTACGTCTTTCACTTGCAGTGCAGTTAAGACTAAAGTGTCACTAAAGACTTTGAGACTTTGATTAATAATAATTTAGTTAATGCACATTAAACTCATAGTCCAGGCACATAGCATAATTATTATAAGTAGCTTAAGCTTATTTGGGTATAAGTATTTGATTTGACTTAAGACTTTAAAATTTTTTTAGGCCTACTTTTAATTAATGGAGGCGAGCGAGTTGACGAGATTCCGTCCCCAATGTTGTTGACATGGAATAAAAACGTGCTTTTTAGATTTAGACCGTAAAAAAAATAAAAAAAATAAAAACTTAAGCCTAAAATTAATTTAGAAATTTTATATTTTTGAATAAATGTTATAAAAGTTGCAAATCCAGAGAACTTGAAAATAATTTGTTGAGTTTAAGGCTACATTTCTATTTATTTTCATCAAGCCTAAGTTATAACCGGATGTTTCACTTTCGTAAGACAAATATTGATTGGCTGTACAGTAACTTAGTGATCGATAACTATTTGTTTACAAAACTTTGCAGATCAAGTTTTTAAATAACAATGCAAATTTAAAACCCCATGACCTAGTTTTCTATTTTTAGCTTACAATGTGTACAATAAAATCAATGGCGGCCTATCCAATAGCAGGATGCCATTGTTTATGTCGCCATTACACGTGAAAACCAAATTGTTTTTGCTTTTTTTTTAAATTTTTATTTAGTTACCGAAAATATTATAAACATCAAATACATCCAATCTTTAGTAAAGTCCGAAAAAAACCAGATAGACAGGATTTTATAACCATATTAATTGTAACTACGCTGTGCATGATTTTTAAATGAATTTATACACCTTTCAAATACCTTTGAGACTTTTCTCGCTGGTGTCCATTGTTTAATGTTTAGTACTTTTGTTTAGAGTTGCGTTAGGCTATTGGCTATTCATTATACAAGCAGAGCTTCAATAATTCAGACTCACAGAATTGAAATTTAATCCGGGTTTTTTTAAATTTACACAATTAAAATTTAATCAGGTTGTTTTTTTTTTAAATTATACCCTTAGTTAATAGTTATTGTAGATTGTAGGATCTTTATTAAAGTTTGTACTTCATCTGCACCTTTGTTTTCATGTTCAGTTTGACTTGGGTCACACTTTGGTTTGTGGTAAAATCTTGTAACTTAGTTTTGAACTATTGCAAATGTCTAATCTGCTGATCAATGTATCTCTTGTGGCAATGGTGTGATATTTCATTTTCATTGTGGAAATCTAATTAGATATTAAATTTGTCATTGAAAGTTACTTTAAAGGCTGCTATATTTAGTTGTAACAAAGTCATGTTTTCTTCATTGAATTTTTGTTTACAAATCTTAGAGCAGAGACTATTGTTAAAAATCCTTTTATTGAGTGATTTTATAAATAAGGAATAATTATGGTATTGTTTTATTATTTATAGAAACCCTGTTCGTGGTGGATTGCGATGTTGTATTAAGGTTCTATAATGGGATGTGGTGGCTACAGCAAGATTAACAAACCAGAAGTCAATGGTGCCATTTATCGCAAGATCACCAAGGAACAAGTCCATGTTGAAATGGGGCACAAGGTCAAGGTTGTAGATGATTACCCGACTATTATTTTCGTTTATGGTATGTTTATTTCTGTATTTTTCCTACACAGAAATAGTTGTTGTTTTGATGGAATTGGCAAGAAAACTCCAATGTGACCACTTAATTTTATCAAATAATTTGCCATACATAACAAACTGCTTCTGTGCTGTTTATCTCATTTTACTATGTAATAATCATTTAATTGATAAACTATAACAGGTGTAGCAGAAATTAGTTTACCATCGTATTTTAGTATAAAATTATAGTCATGTTAATTTCCTACAAGCTGTCCTCTATATATTGTAAAAATTGATTTTTTTTACTACTTTTTACTTATCTTTGAAGTTGTTTTTATTGATAACATGTTATAACTTTTATTAATTAAAATGATTACACATTCAAAAAACAGAGCTAACAAATATCTAAAAATGGGTAGAAGTATAAAACTTTATTTGTATAAATTATTACTAAAGTAAATTGCTAACAAAATTAATATATTGATCTATAAAATTAACATCAGGAGGGTCTGTTTTAAAGAATAGCCTCCACTTTTCTACATTTTCAGGAGGCCCTGGTTCTAAAAAAGGACGCCTGGTTTCGGAGTTGTCTGAGGTATTTGATTTCACTTTCATTAATGTGGAGAAGATGATGTTGCAGAAACTTGCAGAGAATTCCAACAGTGCAGACACTAATGAGCAGGGGGACCGTAAGGAGTCGGTGCAGGAGCTGAAAAAAATGTTGGAGGTAATTGAGATTCTTTTTTAATACTGAACATTATCTTACTGATAAGTTTATTTAATTGCTGCTTTGTGAATATTCTACCCTACGTGTTTTAAGTTATTAGAATTAAAACTGTGCTCAGTTTTTTATTGATCAGAATTATGGCTTCATTTAATAATAAAATAACCCTTTTAAAAAAATCTATATTGAAATTAAGTGATTATCACACCTGTTTCATTGTAACAGCTGTTTTCCAAAAAATCAATTAGTGTAGTATTCAACTCTTGTAAATACAAAAGATGTTCTGACAAAAATTAAATGTTCCTTATTGTATGGTGGCTACTAGTTTTTTTTGAGTGGCAAGCAAGCTTGAATTTATAATTTTAAAAAAAAAGAAATCTGGTTTTACCTATATAAAAGAATGTATAAGTACTCTTTGGTGTGACATTTCCAAAAAGAGGTGAAGTAGAGAAGTGGTTTTACCTATATAAAAGAAGTAGCGTACATCTGTTTTTTTGACACTTGTTATAGTTGATCTATTTATTTCTTCTCTTCATTTCAACCAGTAAAAATGTATGTAATAAAACTTTTACGTGTGTCCTTAGGAGGATCCTACAACCATATCCTTAGCCTGGATTCTAAAGGAAGTGGCCTCTGCTGTAGATCTGAACCCTAGGGGGCGCTACCTGGTTGACATGATGCCCAACCTCAAGTATATCATCCGTACAGCCAACTTCTCCCAAGATTGTTCTAGTCACATGGCTCTTTTTGAGCAGAAGGTACAATTGTCTTACAGGTTGAAATAAATGTGATGGAACTCATTCACATTCTATATAATTTCTGTCATGCTGTAGGGATTTCTCTTTAAATTTAACAATGCTGGTAAACAGAGTTAAACTGCATAGCTTACTTTATCCAGTATTATTTAGTGTCTCGGCCTGTTACTTCTTGAACATGAACAATGAAACTAACAAGTGAATTTAAAAAAAGGAAAGTTACCCTTTCAGCCCTCACACTCAATGGGGCTGATGGAGAAGAGTTCATCTATTTCTGTGACCACTGCATGTGAAGGGATGATGTGGTCAGTTCTACATCAAGCCTCATTTGCTTTATCTTATGTGAGTCAGGTACCCATAAGAGCTCGCTGGACATAGGATATCCTATGGGCCTGACAGGTTATCCTATAGGCCTGATTCTAAGATCTGATCTCAAGACTTTCAGGTTTGCAGTCTTGCACTGTACTGCAAGGCCACACTGTCCTATAATGGGAGCAAATAGTCTTGTAAATAATATTTGTCTCCATCATTGTTGCAAGGCTTGTTACTTATACTTTTTTTTAACAAGTATGAACATAGAGGAAATAATATTCTGAATGAACTCTTTCCCCAGTACCCCATATCGTTCAGCTTGTATTTTTCACTGAATATGAACAACAAAACCAAAGGCGCCAAAAAAGTGGAGGAAGTTGTCAAGGAGGAGAAGGAAGAAGAAAAACCTGGCTTTCAGTCAGATGAAGTAGATCTGTCTCGCACTAAGGTTGGCTTTTTTTTTTATGTGATCATAAGGATAGAACAGCTATGCAGTATTCATAATCAAACTTGATTAGAGTACAAACTTGCTGATCCTAAATCTTTAGCTTAGTTACTGGGCAAACTGTTGTCCACTCATCTCTAAAGTTGTAAAAAGTAATTTCAGGTCACAAGTTCACTTCAAAAGCAGTGACCAGATTAACTCTGCTTCATCTGTTCTGTTCAAAGATTGAGTGCTTTACTTTTATGCAACATTTTGCCATGTTCAAACTGAACAGTCATTTCAATTCTAAGTAAAGTTTTTCAAAAAACTAAAATGAAACTTAATAAATTAACATCATTTTCTGCTGTACAGAGACGAGCTTTAATGTTTGAGAACAGTGTCAGGTCTTTCCTCGAGTATTTTGAAAAGTCTGAGCGCCTGATGGTGGTCGATGTTTCTTGTCGGAATGCTGATGCCATTTCAAGCAGAGTATGTGAAGTCTTCAGCCGCCTTAGTTTGAAAAACTTGAAACTGGTCAATACAGTGCTTATATTTGTCTTTGGTAAGCTAGATTTTTTTTTCATAACGATGTGTTTAATTATGTTTTAGATCAGGAGGGTAGTCAGTAAATTATTTGTAAGATGTCATAGAATACATGAAATATCACTTGTTACATTTCATTAGAAACTAGGTATTGGTACAAAAAATAAATATTTGATTGTAGATGGAAAATCTATAGACCCAGATATACTGCAGGAAAATGAAGTGGAATACATCAGGCTTGACAGACCAGGCTCAAAGTTATCCGTAGCATCATTGGTGATACTCTTTTTACTGTTACATTCTAGCTATGCTCTTGTTACATTGTAATTCTAGATGTATTATAATTACATTGTAACTCCAGCTATTTTATTGTTATGTCATGACTCTTGCTATACCATTTATTATAAGTTAGTATAGCTATAGCAAATTATTTTTTAACAATAATTTTAAGTTTCTAAAAATAAAAGTTAAACATTAAATAATTAAACCAGTATAGAATTTAACCTTTATTGAAAAAGAAAACAATCTGAAAGGCAGCAAAAAAATAACAATAAAATTTGTCTTAAATGAAATTTTTGTGTGTTTTCTAGGATGAAGCTATCAGAAATTTTGTGAACAAGTTGAATCACAAAGAACACAAGACTTTTGTGGTGGATCTCAGCTCAACAAACATTACAAAACAATCTCATGCAGAGGTAGGTGCATGGTGTTGCATGTTCACAGAAATACTTTCTCATACAAGCTAAGCGATATTCTCTTTAAAGCAAGACATTCTGTGAACAAGACCATAAACTAAAGCATCCTTTTATTGGTGGTCTATAAAAGTAAACTTCATCTCTCTCAGTGGCAAACAAATAAAAGATTGTGCAGTCCATGCAATAGCCATTTGTTTATTTACCTGTGTTAAAGCTCAGTGGGCTTAATAAAGTTCTACAGATGTGACCAAAAAAACTATGTTAGTAGTATTGTAACTCATGGTTTTGTGGATTATATCATTGGATATATTTTTCAGTCGCACTGCATTATTCATGTTCACATTGGAAAAAAAAATAAGGATTCCCCTTTTTTTTCTACAAATAAATCCCATATATTAGTATTGACCCAAGCTGTTCTTCAAAACTAGAGGACCTGAATATTTATTAAGACATAATTACAAGATTATATAAATTGAATAATAGCAATAACTGAACTTTTTTTTTTAATTCCACTATTTTTTAATGTTACATCTAAATAAATTACACAAAATATGATATATAGATTAAAGTGTAATATTTTTACTAAAATAAATTGCTACTTGCAAAAATTGACAGTTTACATGGTTCAAACATGTTGTGTTAACTATGTTTTTTTTAAATTTCCTAGGTAGAGAAAACTTCTATTGTCTTTGTGAATGAAGCAAACATTGAACGCTACTTCGACATACCTGGCTGTCAGGGAATGTTCAAGACAGTCTCATCCCTGGAGAACGCTGTCTGTGTTTTTCCTGCAGACACTGATCAGAGCTTGTGCAAAAAGATAGCTATCTCTTTTAATAATGAATTTAGTAATCCCAGGGGGAAAGGGGAAGGTGAAACAGGATAGTTTTTGTGTATAGAAAAATCGCTAATTGTTTCGTGTATTTCATATTTAAAATTTATTTGGCTTGTGCTGTAGTAATCTATCGTAAAAATAATTCAACAAAATTTTAAAATATGTTGTTAAATTCTAAGTAAAAATTAAAAATGTAAGAATTAATCCTGTTTTTTTTGCGTACTTGATCACATAGAATCTGTATGCAATGTTTTAAAATATTTTTTAAATAACAGAACAAAAAAAACCATGTTAATTGCCTACTGAAATTATGACCAAATTGGATTGGAGAGCTTTTAAAAAATTAAAAATAGGCTATTGTGGAGTTTTATAAAAGTTAAAGGCTTTCCTTGATAGAATTATATTTATTTTTGCTAGTCGTATTTCAGCAATTTTTAAAATAAATACATTTTTTTCTTATCTAGGAAGCACTGGTAAGCATACAATATAAATTAAATGTCTTCAAAATACACTAAATACATTTTCTTTAAATTAAAAATGTCTGAAATAATGCTCAATCAAACTTACGCTTTTAAAAAATATATAAATATTTGTCAGCAGCTTTTTAATTTGTTTCATATTTGATAATTAATATTTCATGTATAAGTAAAGTTTTTATTAATCCTAATCCTTTTTTAATTAATATAATCTTAGATTTTCACATGGCAGTGTTGAGTGTAATTTAATTTTGGTTAAACGGAATAGAATTTTGGTTTTGCGATATGTTCTTCATCCGTAGAATTTAAAATTATTTCTACTTTTCTCATTTAAGTCCTGTATTCTATGTGTATGTAAGTTTAAAGTAAGTATGACAGGTTTTATTGACAAGGTTTTCTACTCCAATTTTTTTTCAGTGTGATATTCTGTGTACAAACTTATCATAATGCAGATCTGATGAAGTTATGTGATGTGGTGTTACACAATCCAATAACGAATGTAGAATGCTATGCATTCTGGTTACATTGTATTAAAGTTACGCTCATAAATTTTTTTGCCCTTAAAACAAGTATTAACATATTTGCACTAATATAATTTATTTTGAAGACAGGTATAACATTTGGATTAACCAGTTTGCTAAAAATCGCCTAAATTGTTTATTTTTTAATTACCAAAAATATCTCACATAATATGCTGTGAATTAAATTTATTTTATAATATCACTGATTATAAAATTATGCAAGGCTTTTACAATTACATCTGTTTTAAGAAAAATACTAACAGTTAATGTTAAAATATTTCAAATAAATTAACAGAAAGTGAATTCTACTTGTTTTATTTTATTTTAATTATTTATTTCACTTACATTATTTTTTTTTGTACTTGTTAATTCCTCAACATTTCTGCATAATTTAACATCATTATTAAAATCTCAGTGTACTTTGTGTCTTTTAATCCACATGCATATTTTTTATTTCATTAAATTACATTTGTTTCCAAATATTTTTAGTTTACTAACGATGAAGCTTTAAAATGTGCACTAGGTTGACTGATCCTTATCTGTTTGAAAGGTTTTTACTAAATAACACTTCCTAGATAGAAGAGTTAAAATCAATTTCTATCTTTTCTTTGTATTAATATGCAAACAAAAATGAATGATGAAGCATATAGTTCTCTGGTTGCATTAAAATTATATTGTTTTTAGAAGTGTTGTTTTTAATTTGAATTGTTTCTTCTGTCAGTTGAGGCAATTATTGTAAAGCTTGTTACTCTTAAAACTGTACATTTGAAAAAATAATTAGATGTTCAGTGCACACCAGTCTACTGAGAAAATAATTATTAAAAAAATAAGTATGTAATAATGATATTCTGTTGTGTGCAATCTTATTTTTTTATACTGAAAAGCTGCCTCATAATTTTTGTTATAGTTGTGCCAGTTTTTTTATACTGCCATTCCACTTTTTAAAAAAAATCATTTCTGTTGTGATTTTTTACAATTGTTTTATTAAATTTTATCAGATATTTAAAATTCATTTTTTTAATTATGCCAATATATTCATAAGTATCATCAGATGCTGTTACTCCTTTATTAAGATACCATTGAGCCCTCTTAAAACAACTTAAAATATTTTTTATTAAGGTTATTTAAAAATAACATTGTCAAAATATCTTATTTTTCTAATGTAAAGTAAATACTCTTTCTAATTGTATGGTGCATGGATTAGTAAAAGTAGTTAATTTTTTTATTTGACCACTGTGTGGAATGTATGGTCAACACAAAGCCAAGCCCACTAAGTGTCAATGTTTTAAAATTATTTTTTTATTTTACTTTTGAAAATTCTTTGGTTGAAATCTATTCAGAGGCATTAAAATCAAATTTTTCATTGTTCTAAAATCTAAGTCATGGTTTCATTAAAACTAGATCTATATTTATTATCTTTAAGACAGTGCTTACTCTAACTGCCCTAATGAAAAAAGAACAATTTTTCTTGCTATTCTACATTGCTGTTGTTCAAACTTCAGAAATAATTTTCTGACAAGCATTTATTTCAAAGATTTTGCTTTTGCATTAAAAATCAGTGCATTTTACATTTATTTATTTTATACTTTTTAACGCACTGTTACTCTTAAGTTGATGAAGATCAAAAGTAGATACATTATATTAAAAAGAAATTATTTATTTAACATCTAGTCTAGCAGTAGTTTTTTTAAATGGCATGCTCTAATTATTCTAAAATAATTTTTGTTGACAAGTGTTCAAATAAACATGTGAAGAATCTCAATGTTCTTTGTTTTTATTCAAATTAAAGGTTTGTTTACACATCAAGAGAGAAATATTTGGACTACAAACGTTAAGATTTATCCAAGAAATACTTTTTTTTCCAATTTCGAACAGTGAAAATCATTTTAATTGAAATTTATAGCAACAAGTACAAGAAAGAGAAAAAAGTAACTTTTTAGAACTTGTGATTCTAAGAATGGTAGTATTCATCATATAGGGATTTAATTTAAAAATCAATCACACACTTTCAGGTCTGCATAGAATATCGGCAACCACATGCAGTACATGAGGTGCATACCACTTCACCAGCTCAAGATGTTTTCCCTGCACTGACCACTTCCCACCTTTGCTCTCTTCTAAAAGTGATTTAATCTTAACCTGTGTGCCCATTGACCATTCCCAACATGCTTGCTTTATATTTTCTTTTTCAGTTTTTGAACAAACTTTATTTAAATCACCATTCTCATTTGCAAACATTTCTTTCAATCCAATACAACTTAAATGCGTTTCTGAAGAATCAATTTTCTCTATATTACTAGTAAAAATTCTGTCATAAACCTTCTTATCTTTTAACGCAATTAGGTCACCGTACTGTGTATTTAAACTTGAAATACAGCTATCCTTACTGTCATGATTTGTGACTCCGCTTTCAAAAAATGAACCGACTTCATTTACTAATTCAGCCGCGGCATTTTGCGGTAGATCAGAAGAAACACAGTATCCACCATTGATTTTTGAACCATCCCCTTTTAGACAAACTTTCCTGGTTGTTACATTTCCATGTATGTGCAAGACACCACCAGTGGGTTTCAGAACTTGAACAGCCATCGGCCATGATTCTTCTGAACTAGGGATAAGACCCAGGTTCACACGATCTGCAAGGTCTCGCAACTGCAGCTGTGGGGAAAAATTGTAATCAATTTTATTTCAACATTTAAACATTAAGATTTTAATGATTAATTAACACATGTAAAAATCTACTGTTTTGTAAAACTTACTTTTCTATTGTCCCCTTCAATTACTGTGCATTTTTCAAATACTCCATTTACTTTGAGATTATTTCTCAGCGCAGATACAGCATCAGGGTTCCACTCACAAGCAAAAACATGGTCTGCTTTAGCATGAATCAGATATGGTAGTGTAAAATAACCAATGCCTGGGGGGAAAAATCAGCACCTTAATAGCTCCTGGTAAACACCATTCATCAGTGATGCAAAAAAATGCAATTGAAAGAAACTCACCTGCATACAAGTCAACTATAGTCTCCCCTACACAGTCCAACTTAGCAATTCTTAACTTCTCTGTAATATTACCAGCACTAAACATGCACTTGGTCACATCATAAACATAACTGGTGATAAATAACAAGGTAATTTTTATTAACAAAACAATTTGATAAAAATTGTATATTTATAATACAGGAATATACACATTCAACAGAATATAGGCCCTACTGTTGTTTTTAATTTCAAAATTAGTTAGAAATATTGCATACATCATAAATTTAACTAAATTGTAACTAAAGATTCATAAATAATATTTGATGCAAGTAGAAAAGTAATAAATTTTTTTTAGCCAAGTAGATGTTGAAATATTATAAAAAACTGCACATACAAATATTTAAGAGGTAAAATCTTAGACCACACACCTAATACCATTGTCCACGTGAGTAACAACACCATCCTCACCAAGCAACATCACCACTTGCGAACTGCGAAACCCATTGTCAGCCACTGGAGACTGGCGAGCCAGACGTCTGCACTTTAAACATTTTGCAACTACTTCCCATAACAGCTCACCTAAAATTTTCAACACTTATTAAACATTACTCAAAAATGTACGACAAAAGTTAAGGTAGGATTAATTCACCTAAGCTAGAAATGCCTTTACAACATGCTTTTTCAATCTTATTATTAAATAAGCTAATAAATACATTGCTTTAAAAGAGAAAACTACAGTTATAGTAAAATTACCTAAGACCTTCCACTCATTAGAAATGAAAGCTGTGGATGGGAGAATAACAAGATTGCCATGTCGCTCCCATTTGTGTGGGACTTCATCTTTTAATTTTTCTGCTGTAATGACATAAAAAAAGAATTCTCACAAAGCAAATTTTAATTTAATTTTCAGATTTTCTTTCCCTTAAGATTCTGATTAAATGATTGAGGATACCGAGGTCCATGAAAATAGGTGTGTTAGGTTGTAAGTGGTTTTGTAATTTCAACTAGTTTTATGGTAAGACATTATGGTCAGGCGTATGTTAGTACTAGGGTTGGATTGGCATCAGCTAGTCATATGTGTATTACTTAAACCTTTTTAGGAAGATTCTATTAATGTGCCATAACCAGACACTTCTATAAGAAATCCACCTTCTAATTCAATACGTAACAATAAAATGGGTAGTAAACTTTAAACAAACAACTTTATAATATAAATATATATAATATAGGTAATCTATCGTTTTGGGTACGTAAAATCGCCCGCGGCTATTTATGTACGAAAACGTTACCTCATTGTCAAGGCTTTAAATTACTTTAATAGAAGTATATTGTCATACTTTTGTGTCAAATATTATAGATAAATGAATAATAAACCTAAATCAATGGCTAAATATATCGATATAGGCCAGAAATCAACTTTAAAGTACTTTAAACAGCAGTGTCTGAGAGCAAGATTTGCTATATAAACAGCAGCCATTTGTAAAATAGAGTGGCTTCCCCCTGAATCTGGCGCTAAAAGCTTATAAAAATAAAACTTAGACAAGATGGCTGCTATAGTAAATGAGCATGGTTGCATCTGTTGGAAACATCGCTAGTCTTCATTTATTACGGAAAAGTTTTAATTCAATTGTTTAAAAACAGGTACATAAATGAATCAAGGAAACATTTTTGAATTTTTTAAAACATAAACCCTCCTCAAAATGTGAAATAACTATTAAAATTTAAGGAGTCACCTGTTTTTCACATTACAAATCGCGGGCGATTTTACGTACCCAAAACGATAGATTACCATAATATATACTATATACTAATATAGATAAAAAAAAGACTTAGTTAAGCTTACACATTCTATATTTCTCCATCAATTCACTAATTTTTTTCATCAAATGTGCTGCAGGAGTGTTTTGTTTTACCATAACTTTTTTAGAAACAGGTAGAGGAATGTAAGCAAGTTTAAGATCTGGCCAGTGCAATTTTAACATGTCCAGCTTACTGCCTTCAACATTGACAGGAATGGCAACAAGGTTATTTTCAACTTGCTGAAGTTTATGTGAACTATCCCACAGTTGAAGTTTCTCAAGCTCTTGTCTGAAAAATAATCATTTATACATTTTTTTATTCATACATCTTTAAATTCTTTAATAATCTTTATTTTATTAATGACATACGTCATGCAGTTACGTTACACAGACGGAGTACGTACACAGTAGTAAAGCTTACACTCAGGACTTACACTAAAATAATACACTTTAATGTGACGTAACGTCACTTTACTCCTTTACCTTTAGGCCTACTATACTACTATACTTTTAATACTTTATTTATTATTTAGGCCCCTAATTATTTTATAATTTACTATTATTTACTAATATTTACCTTAGGAAGTGGCTATTGGGACCCGGGTCCTAATAGCCTCGGCCGCTATTGGGACCCGGGTCCTAATAGCCTTGGCCGCTATTGGGACCCGGCATTAAGTTCAACCTGTATTAAATTATACCTTTTATGTTTATTTGATTTTTTGTGTGGATTTGCTCGTATTTTGTTGTCTTTTATTGTAATTAGTTATGCGGATTATCTAGCGTTAGTTCTTGTGTTGCTATTTCTAAACGAGAAAAATGGCCCGTTGAGGAAGGATACACCGGGCGCTAGGTTGATAGTGCTGTCTCTTTTCTCTAAACAAAAACCACCCCCCCCCCACACACACCACCCCCACCCCCACCCACACCCCCACCCACACCACCCCAACCCCCCACCCCCCCCCCCACCCCCACCCCTACACACACCACCCCACACACACACCACCCCCCACCCCCCACCCCCCCCCCCCAAAAAAAACATGTCTACCGTCCCATTCAACGAAATATAATTATATACTTTTTCCAGTGTCCGCCCCCTCCCCGAAAATTCTACACCCGCCCCCGAAATTTTCAAGTACCCTCACCCCTCTCCGGGGAGGAAAAAGTCTAAATTAAAACCACCCCCCCCACTCACCCCCACCCCCCCCCACACACACACCACCACCCCCCCCCCCCCCACCCCCCACCCACCCCCCCCCCCCCCCAAAAAAAAAGCATGTCTACCGTCCCATTCAACAAAATATAATTATATACTTTTTCCAGTGTCCGCCCCCTCCCCGAAAATTCTACCCCCGCCCCCGAAAATTTCAAGTACCCCCACCCCTCTCCGGGGAGGAAAAAGTCTAAATTAAAACCACCCCCCCCCCCCACTCACCCCCCATCCCCCCACACACCCCCCCTCCCCCCACCCCCCCCCCCCCCCCCACAACCCCCCCCCCCCCCTAAAAAAAACATGTCTACCGTCCCATTCAACGAAATATAATTATATACTTTTTCCAGTGTCCGCCCCTCCCCGAAAATTCTACCCCCGCCCCCGAAAATTTCAAGTACCCCCACCCCTCTCCGGGGAGGAAAAAGTCTAAATTAAAACCACCCCCCCACTCAACCCCCCCACCCCACCCCCACCCCCCTCAGACGTTCTTACGCGGGGGTGGGGCTTCGCCCCTACCCGAAGAATTGTATGCAAGAAACTCTTCACGCAAACCATTTAGATTAGACACCATTTCCTTTTTTTCAATGTTTCAATGACGTCATTACATTACTGTGTGCACTCTCTGGTTTGAGATTATGTTCTACTCTACGCTAAATGTGTCGACGTCATATTTCGTTTTTCGAATTACTGTGCAGGTTTTTAAATTCCTTGTGTTTTCTCTAGAGCGTTCTTGTCAGACAGATAGATAGATAGAGAGACAGCGAAACTATTAGTATTAATACCCTATATTTAGCTGTATATACAAAATCATTAAATACTTGTATTTATCGTAAGATGTCGTGGTCTAGTGGAGAACGCAGTACCTCCCGCATCTCGATCAGTTACGGGATCGGAACCTATCAAAGCTCTAGTTTTTGCGTGAAGTAAAGTGTATTTATCTAAGTTTAATATTCCATTGAGTTGAATGCTTAAGTGTTGGGTTTTTTTTTTAAATAGATAATTTTTTTTCTAGATTTAGGTTTTCAAACACGCCAATTATAAAAAAACATCGTTGCTCCATTGATCGCCAGCTCGCGTTTTCTGGTCAGCGCAAGAACAATACCGACACGGTCTAGCCAGGGTCATTGAGTTCACAGTGTAGGCGTATAGCATACGTCATAGCAAGACCATTGCTATGAGCTTGTCGAGATTTGTCGTCGCCGTATAGTCCCCCCCCCCCCTCCCCTCCCAACCCAGCAAGAGGGAAAACCGGATTTGGGGTCATTGTGAGTTCAAATGTTATGTATTGCTTCTATTATAGTGTACTACAACGCATGCGAGATATTCGTATTCAAGAAAACGGCCCTGGTAGCTGTAGTCTGCAGCCTATATGAGCTATCTTATACAATGTATATAAATATATATGTATATTATATATATGTATTTATATATATATATATATATATATATATATATATATATATATATATATATATATATATGTGTGTGTGTGTGTGTGTGTGTGTGTATGAAATCAAATTACGTTTAACAGAAGAAAAAGAAATAAAACACATTTTTACATGCGCGCTCAACATTCGCTCGGCCATAGAAGTTCATACCATAGGGCATAGGCCATAATTCTATTATAGACCTAACGACACCCGCTCATCATGACATTTGTAAGTAATGATATCGGGTATTTAAAGCAAGATCTCAGTATATCATTTAGAATTACAAGGAAAAAAATCACAACAGAAAAGATATATTATGCATCTTAAAAGAATGTTTGTATAACTAAATCTAAACAATTCTATTGGCTAGTCCCAATAGCGGCCGAGGCTATTAGGACCCGGGTCCCAATAGCGGCCGTGGCTATTGGGACCCGGGTCCGAATAGATGCATCCTTTACCTTATGAGCTGGGCCGATTCTGATGGAACTAATAGTGTGGGGGATTCTTCCAATGAAACCATACTAAAATATAATATATAATTTAGAAAAAGTGACAACAGCAAATAAATATTTTGGTAATTTTTTTTTTTTTTTTATGGATTCCACTCTTTCCTGCGTTGACAGGCGGGGTAATATGTCTACAAATCTGGAATTTTAGGCCTAGAGATTGTATTTCGCGTTTCACCAAGCCAACTTTTTAGATTTTTTCAACGCGCAAGAAAAGAATATCAACTTCCTGATTGAAAGAACTATTCTTTTCGCAATTACCATCTGTGTAATACTTAGGCCGTTTTCTACAAAATTTTAATTAAGTTCTAAGCTATATAAATATTTTAAATGCTTCTAAAATATAATTAAGTCATATCCGACATTTAATAAGCAATACTGAGTTACATTTAAAGAACTATCTTTTTAAGCGTAAGGTGTCAGGTCATCGCTTGTTCAATTGGGTTCAACTATGGAGTCAGTATTGAAATCTTGACGGAACGAAAATACATACAATAATGCATATTTGTCCGAAAATAGACTATTGAGAATAAATTTCAGCTCTGTACTTAGTGGATTGAGAAAGTACTAGTCCACTCATCCTATTTATATTCTGTTTTGTAGGATATCAAACATTGATTTGGGAGATAAGCAAAGGTAAACGCATTAATTTTTAAATTAGGAAAGTTAAGCACTCGCCGGCGGTATGACCTCACCACCGTCACAATGTTTACAGAAGAATAAGGAAGAGAAGTATTGTAAAGGCACGCCCACCTTGATGATTAAATGTCCAAGTGTCTATTTTGTATTTTCGCTAAATCAGTAATGAATTTGATAGATAAGCCTAGATTTTTTCTATGATTAAATTATGATGATAGTTTTTTTTTTTTATTTAGGCCTAAGTATCTAATGACTAGAGTCTATCTGCCTTTTAAATTTTAAATTTTAAATTTTTAATCTTATTCTTTATTGCTTTACTTGCTAGTTGCTAGTTTACTTGCTTTGCTACAAAATACAATATCAATTCAATATCAAATCAATAGACCTACACTCTACACTAAGCTGAATTTAATATTTTAATTAATACAAGCCATATCCTAAGTAATCTAGGTTAGTTTACCACTTACTAGTATTAGTTACTAAGACTAATAGATCTATCCTCAGTTGCCAGTTCAGTAGAGATCTATCCTCAGTTGCCAGTTCAGTAGCATCATCCTCATATCACGACTAGATTCTAAATTTCTAGGCCTATACTATAGAATAAACAATTAAACATCAACCAACACTCAGTCAACACTGGCCAGACTCTTATTTACATATTCATTATTGCTGTCTATGGCCCAAAAGAATCATTCAGATAGTTTTTCTGTTAGTGCCATCCTGTATAATTTAATATTAGCCATTCTCCCTAAAGTTAAAATTAAATCATTCACGTATTCTGCCAAACCAATTCCATTGCAAAGTAGGCCTATATCCATTAGCCTATAAGATAATACAACACAAAAGTTAAAGCTCAAACAGACTTAGAGACTGAAATAATTAATTTAAAAAACCTGAGTGACTCTTTTTCTGTCCATGAATATTGAGAAATGGAGAAATTTGGCATGACATGGTGGGTGTCACAAGTAGATCTATAGGCCTATAGCTTGGTGGGGTTTTTATTTTTTCTGTGTCTCTTTTATCACAGTATTTTTTTTCATTGTTTACTATGGATTATTTAATAATGCAAAGGGCCAAATGATTTTTAAATTGCTAAGCACAAAAATATAGCCTACATGTCACACATTAACACTAACAGTCGAAAGTGTATGACATCTTCAACCAAAAAACAGAATTTAGCATAATAATTTGAGTGGGGCAATTTTTCGCTAAAGCAGGAAATATATTTAAAATGTTTCTTATAGTTATTGTAGCTTTGTATTCAGATGACCAGCCACCTTGCTTCAAATAAGTTTTTATAGAAAAAATTCCATAAAGAATTGCTGTTTTACTTTAGGACTAAAATCATGCCATTTTTTCTGGCATAGAATGGCAGATCATTTATTTATTTTAAAATCTTGCATTCAAATTATAATTAGATTAATTTCGCATGATGATAGGGCACTATACAGGCCATACAGTGTAATTGGGCTTTTGTTATGGTCAGTTAAGGATGCTGTATTTCTGTTCAAAATGTTTTGCTCTTGGTTAGGTTTCACTTGTTAAATTGTAATTTTAACATTGAACTTAAAGCTTTTTTTTTCTCTTCATCTCAGGTAAAAATTACACACCATGGGGAAGCTGTTGTCTAAGATTTTTGGTAACAAAGAGATGAGGATATTGATGCTTGGTTTGGATGCAGCTGGGAAGACTAGTATCCTTGCTTATTATCATGAACATTCAAAGTTTAGGCCTGAGTTATATAAACATAGTTACTGCAGACGATTATTTAAAATTGTTAATTATTAGTTAGTCCTACATGAATATTTCTAATCCTGGTATAGTTGGATAAGCTTTGGGGTTAATGGGTACCATTTACAATCATATGTCTATAATAGCTAATATGGTACCATATTTTGAAAGTAAATTATTTCTTTCACTTGTTTTAAAAACAAGAAATCTATTTTGTAATGTAAATATTTGCCTTTACTAAGCTTTCAGCTTTATTGTATAAAATGAAATTAGGCCAGTCAGTGACGACAATACCAACAGTAGGTTTCAATGTGGAAACAGTGACATACAAAAGTGTTAAGTTTAATGTTTGGGTAAGGAATTTTTTAACTGTAATCAAAGTTCTTCCCTAGTTGTTTTGATTTGTTTACAAATTTTATATGGTGTTTTTATATGTGTATATTTTTTTTCTTAATGCTAGGATGTTGGAGGTCAAGATAAAATTCGACCGTTGTGGAGGCATTATTTTACTGGCACTCAGGGGCTTATATTTGTTGTGGACTGTGCAGACCGAGACAGAATTGACGAGGCCCGTCAAGAGCTTCATCGCATTATAAATGATAGAGAAATGAGGGATGCAATTATACTTGTGTTTGCCAATAAACAGGATCTCCCAGATGGTATGTTATATTCCTTTTTCTCTATAAAGAGATCAATGAACTTATATAAAGTAAATTTGAAAGAAAATTTCTTAATCATATCATGTTTTCTAATTTGATATTAGGAATTATTTTCAACTGTGAGATTTTATAAGTACTACAAATTAATTATTTTAACAGCATATTTTGAATTTTACTAAAGATTTATTTACTATTTGCTTTATTTATTGATGTTTGTTATGGCTTTAATCTTTAAAATTCTTATTACAGCCATGAAACCACATGAAGTACAAGAAAAATTGGGGTTGACAAGGATACGAGATCGCAATTGGTATGTACAACCATCATGTGCAACGACAGGGGATGGTCTATTTGAAGGATTGACATGGCTCACTTCAAATCACAAGTCATGAAGCCGGCATTATTAGTTTATAAATAGGTCTAAATTATAAATTATACATACATCTTATGTGTAGCACTTCACGTTGGAAGCTGCAGCCCTTTGGTAAAACTTGCTAATTATATTTCAGTCTGACAGGTTACTTGTTGTTTTACTGGCATCATTGTGTTTTATAAATATATTTTTCTTAAACATCTAGTACAGTTAGCAATTTTTGACATTATTGGCTACAAAATTGTAAAGGAAACATCTTGTATTGAGTTTTTGAAACATATATTGCAAGGTTGTCAGTGTCAGTTTTAAGTTTATGTATAGAATTTTGTGATGTGCTCACGTGTGTGAGGTTTTTATAAATGTATACAGGCGGCAGATTCAGAACTTGGTGCCAGATTTTTTAGATTTCTAAGGAGTGAAAGTTTTATTATCAGATTTACCAAAGGACTGCACTGTAAAGGGCACAGTAGTTTACTAGTTGTACAAATTGATTTTAAAAAAAAACAACTGCTGTGCTTGAAAAGCGAATGTTTGCATTTTCATATTAATCACCTTGCAATCATTATGGCTACTGTTGGTTTATTATGACTCTTCCCATGGTATTTAGATTGTTCTTCAAAGCTAAAGCCCTGAAACTTTCTTACAGCACAAGCTATTCTCATTTTATATCATGGTGTGGTAGTGTTGTAGACAGTTGTTTTTCCCTGAGTGTGTATATGTTTCCATTGAATGTTGATGATGGCTGGTCAGTGTATAGTATTATCACGGCAATAACCCGAATGATGTAAATTGTGGTTTGTTTTGGGTGATTAAAATGTGGGAATTCTGCATAAAAATCTTTATTTTACATAACATAGTAATCGCTTCTTTATTATTATGTTTTCTTATATTGGCTATGCTCAAGGCTTGTGTGCCTTAAAGTGAATTAAGCTGAGCCTTGCATGCATTATATTCAAAGTCATTTTTTATTAACTACTTTTCCTTATGTTTCTTTCGTGCTAGACAATGAATTATAAATTATATTAACAGTTCACTTGCATGAAATGGGTGGTAGTTTTCATCATATAGGGATAAATTATTTTGCATTGTTACAGCTGCGTTTGTGTCACACATTTTGATTCCTTGCTGCTAGTTATGCCTGGTGTTTTTATATTCAGCCAATGAAATAGGTGCAATATGTTCCTTATCGTGAAAATGACAGACTATGACAACGTACCTAAATTTAGTTGCTTTCTGTCATTGGTTGGTGCTTTTTTTTTTTTTTTCAATTTTTTTTCTCTCTGTTAAACTGAGCCTTGTATGTATTATCTAAATAATTTTAAAAAATTAAACCATCTCATACTGGCTTAGGTATTAAAGATATGATTAGCAGTTGTGATTGTGGTGGCTCAAAAGTCCTGTTTGGGGTGTTGAATTACTTTACTCACTGTGTTAACCTTGAAAGACTGGGATCATGCATGCTGTTGGGAAACAAATCACCATTGTTGTTGGCTGCAGTCCTAGTTGTGTCATGCAACCCACAGATGAAATCAAATGTTTGCTTGTTGTGGTTTTGACTGATGTTTTCAAACCTCTTAGTCACTGCCCTGTTATATTTGTTGACTTGTAATATTTCTTGAATTACCTCAATGTAGCCCAGCTTCTGCACATCTAGTAGCTCTGTTTTTAAACAACTACTGGTACATTACCTGGCATACAGAATTTAATTCTGCTTGAGCCATTTTGTAATTAAAAGACCAATTCATCTCTAGTAGGTAGAAAAAAATATTAACTCTTGATTGATCCTCTTTCATGACATTCAAATTTTAGTTCTGCTGAGTGTGCATCATGTGCATGTAATTCTATATGCGGTTTTCTTGGGTTTTTTTTTTATATATAATCTTTCATTGAGGTACATTGTGATTCAGTCCTAAAATTATGTTTGTATTCAGAGAAAGTAAGTTGTGGAGTGTGGTACTTAATTTAAATTGTGGTTTGTCATTCTGCTTAATTTCTCAGCAGTTATGTCACTTTTTTTTTTCTCTTCAAACTGCTGAAATAGTTTCCCAGTGTTTACTTTAAATCATATTTTTCATTGGGTTTAATCTTAGGAGCTTTGTATTGTTGAACAGAGAAAATAACGTATTTGGATTAAGTAATGTTAGTATTTGTCGTGTCAATAATTTGACTGACTTACATTTTAGTCATAGTCTTAAAAGCATATTGAACATACTTTTTTCTTGTAAGTTTACCTGCAAGTCTAAGAAAGAACTAAAGTTCTCTCCCTTGCCTAGAAGTAATTTCCCCTTTCAATGTTTTCTATTGGTCATTTAACTTCTTTCTCAAACAAAATATTTTAAGGGATGTGGGAACTGTATAGTAAGGTTCAGAAACTAAAGAACTACTACCAGAATTTGTCATAATTTATCACTAAGTTTGCTGCCTTTTAAGATTGAGAGGATCACTCTAATTGGCAAGTTAAATCATTTTTTTTAATTTAGATCTTATTTTCATCTGGATACAAGTTTTTTACGATGTTTGTCTCATCTATGTAACCATTGTACAAAGTTCCATTAGTGGAGAGTTTGTGTGACTGGGAAATTTTGTTTGTTGAATGCTGTTTAGCAAGATGATGAACAAAGTTGGCAATCTTACTAAAAAAAAAAATCTCCTGTTTTGTTGTTTTTAATTATCACCATGATTGATTGTTCTGCCAGATTTTATCTTTGATAACTGTTGTAAATATAGATTCTTACCAGTGTAAACCCTATGGGGTTTATCTTTTGAATAAACACTGAAATTTTATGTTTTATCTTTTATGAATTGAGTACTCAGTATAACACTAAGCACATACCAATTTATAGTTCACAACAATTTATGACCTAATTTGGACATTTCCTAGTTTCAAGTAATTAATTTCTTTTAAATTCATATTTGTACCCTTTTTCCGGAACAATGCTAGCTTACAAAAGTTTCATTTCAAGTAGTTTTTTTTAAAAAAAGAATGTTAATGGGTGTGTCTTGCAGCATTTCCTTACTGTCCACTGCTTGTCTCTTGATCTAGCTTGCCCAAGTTGCCATATATTTGTACAGTCGTGTTGCTGAATATGGTTTTCTTTTCTATTTAAATCAGCTGCATTAGCCATTCTGTGTGCAGGTTAGCTCAAGGGTTGCTATGAAGTTCTATGATCATAAATAATTTTTGTTAACTTATTTTTTTTAAGATCTCTCACTTTCCCCATATAATATATTGCACACAATTTATTTAACCGATACAGTTGCATTGAAATACATCTACTACTGATTATTGTTTTGTATCCTAGAAATGTTTTTACTTTGAAAACAAAAATTATGTTGCTATGCAATGTCCTGTATGGTTTTTTTTTCCTTGGAAGCTAAAAACTATCACATAATTGTATAACAAAATGAATACAATAAAATTGTAGGTTAAAATTGTATTGTATGAACATTGTTGTATTATAGCAACATTGGTATGATATAGCAGATATTTTTATTCATCTTGCTTTTATTTCCTTATATACAGCTAATCTTAATGTTTATTTAGAGCCAATTATGTTATTATTATTAATCTGACAGACACAAATGCTTTATTTACTTTGAAAAATTGATTTGTAATCAAATAGATTTTTTAAAATAAAGTAGAGTGTTGGTTGTAAATTTGCTTTATAACTGGATTTTGTAACAAAACTGAATGAAAATGTAAAAACTTTTTTTTTCAATTCCGCAATTTCCAGATTTCCAGAAGTAATGTACTCTTAATACTTAAAGAGTTGTCACCACTGTATTTTAACTTGTGTTAGTTTAGTATCTGAATGAAAGCTTGTTTATTTAGTATGTCTTATGTGTGCATTTGTAAAAATGTTTCTTTAAAAATGTATTAGTCACAGTAACTAACACTTCCAGGAATGCAGAGTCTACTTAAAAAATATTCAGAATTGATTTTCCAGAAAACATTAACGGCCCTAGCCCATTTTGGTAGAGACACGCCGCGCCCGTTTTGCGTCTATTAACTTTGACTTAACTTTTGGCTTTTGATCATCCAAATTTCATTGAGATTTCAAATATGTATTTAGACTCTGCAGTCCTGAACTACTTTATTAGACTTATATTTAGCTCACCATTGCCTTTATGGTGTGTAGGTTAATCTAACACAAACCTTGCATGAAATGTTACTGTGTGAATAAGTTTTTAGTAAGAAAAAATTATTAGAGGATGTACATATTTTTTCTTTTATTAAAAAAAATGCAATTGTTTTTGTGACATGTTAATATAAAAAAAAAAAAACTAATGCTTTTTATCTTCTCTGGTGAAATTTCTTGTTTAGTTTAACCTTAAAATGAATGGTTGCTTTATAGAATTTGTTAGTCAGCTGCCAAAATACTCACATGTTCTCTTTCTCTTGTTGCTGAAACTTTTTAGATAACCTTTCTCTTTTTCATATTGTCTAGAGCAGAATGATTTTGAATAGTGTGATAGCTATAGTAAACGAAACAAAAAATGTGCTGTGGGGGTAATAGCCAAGTACTGTTGTGTCAGCTATTCAGTATTTTTTTTTATATAACCAGACTGCAATGGTAGATTTTTTTATGGCTGTATGAAGTTTGAATTGCTAGTGAGATAGTTTGTCCTGTGTTATAGGTTGGGTAGGAAGGGGGAGCCTAGAGGACGTGTGTAGAAGCCACATTGATCACGTGTGTCTGGGTCACCTGTCAGTTATAACTATGTTTTTATATTATGTACATCAATAAACTCTTTGCAACAGACAGAATCTACAATGCCTCATGGTCTTGGTATTTTATACTGCTCGTAACTGGTGTAAAACTCGTATTTACTATTTAGGCCTATTATAGTAATTATACCTTCATGTGTTTGCATATTTTGAGTATGGGGTTGTGGCTTTTTTTTTCTTCTTTTTTTTTTTTACCTCGTTAACAAGTCAGACCCTTTATAACATGGCCTCATTATCCAACTGCACATTTTCCCTTACCTGTTGCAATTTCTGTTGATTAAAGCGTTTCGTTTAGCATGGACTGAATAGGGTATGGATAGAATCTACTGATAAATGTTTTAGAATGCAAAAGGGTGACTGCTCACTTTCAGAACTCACCCCTTGTGACGCATCGCCACCACAGACCGCACCTCACGTATAAGTGTGACGTCATTTGTTGATGCCCCTCCCCAAGCAGTTTCAGAGCAACACGCACACAAAAACACAGGCTGCATAGGCCGATTTGCTGTCTTAAGGGAACGAAAGTTGAGAGACTCTTCAGTTTCCAGACTTCAAGTGCTCTTAATAAGGCACTTAGAGTCAAATTTAACACGATCCGTGACAAAAATATCGCAATTTCAAGAACAGTGGCCTATTTTTGAAAAGATACATTGCAAATGTTTAGCCATGCAAAAAGGAATATTTGCGTACACTTTGGACAATATTGACCAAAAAAAGGTACCCAGGACGCAAAGCTAGGCTATCGGAACAAAATAATAAAAATACAATATCTTTATTTAAAACAGTTTGTAATTTAAAACTAAATGTTACCATCGGTCCAATATGTAATTTCATTTGAACATTAAAGGAGTTTAACACAGTGCACGCCCCAAATGTGTTGAAAGATAGACAGTGTTAAGTCTTTCAGGCATAATCCTGTATATTGTTCAAGAATGTCATTTATTCTACTTCTTCCACCACTGGTGCGGCGTTGTGGGATGTACGACTGCTAACCCAAAAATGTTGAGTTATTTGGCTTGAGTCCGTAGGGCATCCCTAAGCCCACCTATGTTAGGGAGGATAAAGGCGGCTGAGGTGCAACGTCATTTTCGGAGGCCGAGGGGGGGGGGGGGGGACAAAAGGGAAGACGTGGAGGTAAAAATCGTGAGGTTGTATGTGTAACACCCCCCCCCCCCCCCCATGGGCCTATTGATTAATTTTTTATTACACTTTTCAAACAAAGGCTTTAAAAAAATTGAGTTAAAGAATTAAATGTAAAGATACACTTTTAATCCCTTCTCTCCACGTCACAAAAAACCGACCCCCTCCCCCATCAAGGGTGGACTGGCGTGTCAAAGCGGCCCGCGAAACGAAAAAAAAAGTGACCTCGTCACAGTTTCCTTCCATCAAAACCTAAGATCCTTCTAGGTCTATAGACAAGGTACTTCGGGTAGACCAGGGGTCTCCAAACTTTTCAGCCCGAGGGCCGCATTGACTATCAAAGTTCAGTTCGGGGGCCAGTTTCTTCCAGGCATGTCTTTGATTTTTCTAGGCAAAGTTCCTCAGCTATCACACACAAACGTTTTTTCCGTGGACAAAAAGATCTCCGCGGGCCGGATGAGAGGACCTCGCGGGCCGCATCCGGCCCGCGGGCCGTAGTTTGGAGACCCCTGGGGTAGACCATAATCAATTAGAGATGGTTGTAAGTTTGACCAAAGATATGTAATTTAAGTAACACAAGTAGTATATTAGGTCACTTTTGGGTAGTATGGGTGAGCAGGAGCAGGAGCAGGAGCAAAGGATATATAGGAAAATACTCCCCCAGCCTGGGACAATGACATATAGCAAAATACTCACCCACCTGGGTGAGGCGGGTGAACCGGAGGTACAACGAGATATAGTAAAATACTCCCTGGGGGAGCAGGAGGTACACCGACATATAGCAAAATACTCACCCAACTGGGTGAGGGTGGGTGAGCCGGAGGTACAATGACATATAGGAAAATACTCACCCACCTGGGTGAAGGTGGGTGAGGGTGGGTGAGCAGCCTGGGACAATGAGATATAGTAAAATACTCACCCACCCTAGGGTGGGTGAGCAGGTGGGGGAGTAGGTCAGTAGGTCACCACCGGTGACCTTGTGACGTAATTAGTAACATTATGACGTAATCATTGACCTAGTTACGTAATTTTAATGCGTTTTTTTTAAATTAGTTTTAATGAGTTTTTTAAATTTTAATTAATTTTTGACCTAGTTACGTAATTTTATTGTTTTTTAATTAATTTGATTTTAATTACTTTGTTTGTGTTTTGTTTGTTTATTTTTAATAAGTTTAATTAATTCGATTTTTTATTTATTTTGTATTTGTTTGATTTTAACTTTTTAATTATTTTTATTTTGTTTATTTTTAATTTAATTATTTTATTTTTAATAAGTTTAATTAATTTGATTTTTATTTATTTTGTATCTAGTTACGTAATTTTAATTTAATTTTATAATTAGTTTGAATTTTTATTGACTAGTTATGTAATTTAATTACTTTGATTGTTTTATTAGTTTGTTTACTTGTTGTTTAATTTAATTACTTTGTTTATATTGTGTAATTTTTATTAACGAGTTACGTAATTTGCTTATTTGTTTGAAATTCATTTTAATTAATTTGATTTTAATTACTTTGTTTAATTTATTTATTTGATATATTTCTTTTCTTTGTTGTTTAATTTGTTGGTTTGTTTATTTGGTTGTATGTATGTTTTAAATTCTCCCATACAACGACCGTGTACAAAAAACAGGTTAAATTCTCCACCACAACGAACGTTACAAAAATAGAACATCCATTAAAGATAACGATCAGCCACAGCTGTTACGTATCGACCCGCCCGCGAAGTTTTCTCACCGCTGCCCGTTTTAATGGGAATGTATTGATCGCAGCCGCTGGCCCATCACACCTAATTAAATTTTTGTTATGCTTCACCGAGTTTCCCCCGAGCGGTTGACAGGTTATGGTAATTAACGACGTACATTAAGTGCCTCTCCGTAAAGTACGTAGGTCATTATGCAACAGCTGTTGTGCGA